CTGTGGGGCTGGGAGGGTGGGGAACCGAGCAGCCATGTTGGGGTTGCAGCTGGGAACTGGTGCAGACTGGTCCCAGTGCCTGGGCTCTGAGAGATGGCTGCCTTCTTGTAGTGTGAGAGGGAAACATGCAAACTTGCCCATTTAACCAGCGCAGAACGCAGAGATCGGGAGGTCCCTTTGTACCCTGCCCATCACGCCGGTTTCTGCCGGGTCTCACCTCTGCCGTGCAGGCAGCGAAGCTTCCCTGCTGCCTCCGGGGGTACACTGAGCACCTCTGCCGATTCGTCCAGTCTTCTCCTCCATGCCACCTCCAGCCCAAGTGAGCACAGGTTTGTGGAGCACTGCAACCGAACCGAAGCTGCTTCTTCTAGATAAATAACCAGGAAACGACCCGTGAGCCTGGACCGTAATTTCTGCTTTTTTTAGTAGTCACCTCCAGGGGTGTGCACAAGGTTGGTTGTGACGGCCACTGTCTTTCAGAGCTGTAAAAGCCACTTGTGCCTCCTCCTCAAGGGGCTCCATAGGTGCAGCGCACCCACGGCTGTGCCTGTCCTCCGAGGGGGCTGGGGGTCTCTTCAGCAAATGCACAGAGGAGATGGTGGCTCTAAGACACACGTGTGCACGCACGCCTGTGCATGTGTGCACTCCCAGAGTGGGGGGAGGGGGGGGTGGAGTACAGCAACCGAACCTTTGAGGAGTGATCCCCTGCCTAGTGTCTATGCCAAAGACCTTCTGCTTTATGCGCGGGGGTCTCAGCATCCCCACCCGCTGCGGAGGTTTGAGCGGGAGCTGAGCAGGCGTGCAAAGCCCTCTTCGTTAGCTTGCCATGGCTGGGAGTAGGACGTGGCAGCGAGATAAGTCCTTCTGCGGGCAGCTACCGCACTCATTAGGTTTTTGCAGCAAGTCTGTTCATCAGGGCTGGAGCAGCTGGAAGCAAATACTGCAGAAAGGCCAGCCTGGGTGTTAAGAGAGAGCATTCACAAAAGGGCTGTGGTCAGCAATGCCGTGTTTAGCCCCAGACCCGTGTACAGCCGTATGGGAGGGACAGCTTCGCAGCCAGCGTGGCAGAGCGGAGAAGCCCTGGCAAGTGAAGAGCACGCGTGAGCCGAAGTCTTGCAAAGTAGGTCTCATCGGCTGTATGAGTCCCTGGAGCTGTCACTGCCCTCTCTCCCTGACGTGGCCATTGAGCAGCTCAGAGGCTGCCGTCCCCTCTGTGGTGCTGGGGGGCTTCTCAGTTTTGCGCACTGGTTTTGGCATAGATTATTTTGGTGGCTTCAAAACCTGCCACTGTTGAAACCATGTCCAGGAATTGCCAACCTGCATGCAAATCTGGCTACCTTGGTTTTTTTAGCAGTTCTAATACAGGACTTCTAATAAATAATGGACAAGCCTACACTGAAAGTCTCTATAAGAAAAAAAAACCAAGAAAGGGGTTTTTGTTCACTTTGCATGTGGCTTGGCGTAAGTAATTATGTCACTAGGAGAGCAGGACTATTTTTGAAGCGCTCGACTCTTACACTGTGCAAGGTGGGTGAGAGCGCAGAGGGCAACGCTCTTCTCTGGGCTGGTTTTGTGGTACACGTGCCAGTGGGAGAACAGCTGTTGGTTTGCCACGCAGATAGGAGGATTTTCAAGACTCATTTGGCGTCAGCAGCTTGGCTAGGGTCATACAAAGAGGCTAGAGCATTTGTGGGTTTGCTCTGGTGTGCAGTGCTTTGGGTACAGCTGGTCTAAGCTTTAACACCTCCATGCACCACTGGGATTTTGTTTGGATCCGAGCCTCTGTTTTCAAAAAACAAAACAAAACAAAAACCGAAACGTGTGTAAAGGATGTGCACTCAGAGAAATAGATTGTGTGTGCTAACTCGCTTTGTGCTGTGCCTCTCTTCCAGTTGGTGCACTACGTGTGGAGTTTTCCCAGCCTGTGAACCTGGAAGAAGTGGCGAGAATAAACCCAGAGGTCAAAACAGGAGGTCGTTTTGCTCCGAAGGACTGTATAGCACTTCAGAAAGTAGCGATAATCATACCCTTCAGGAACCGAGAGGAGCACCTGAAGTACTGGCTGTATTACCTGCACCCAATTCTCCAAAGGCAGCAACTAGATTATGGAGTGTATGTTATCAACCAGGTAAGATGCTAAAGACACAGGGCTTTATAACGCTCTCATAACAGCACCCATGCCCCCTAAAATAGAGGAGTGATTGCTTTATCCTGAACAGCAGTGGGCTGGCAGGCAGGGATAAGGTTGCTTTTAAAAAAAATGCTGTAGCACTCCCCAGAAAAGTGAAAATGAACATGAGCAATTCTGCTTGGATGATTTTGATGGAAAACCTGGGGTCCCCTCCTCCAGTCAGGCATGATTCACCCTAAAGAGCTTCTGTTTAAAGAAACCACTTGGTAAGAAGGAAAAATATCCCGAATAGCACAACCCAATCTAATTGTTTTTTCTAAATATTGCCTTTTCCCAACTACTGCATGAACTGTGTACAGAGATCTTTAAGTTGACAAGGTAGCAATAATGCCTAATCTGGCATTGGGTGTGTCATAAAGCTGTAGGATTTTATTTACTTTTTCAAGCAACTTGTGTCCATGTTAGTCAATAGTGCACAGAGTGTCGGGATGGAGAAAGCAAAGCTGTGGCAGTGGAGCAGGTGAGTGATTGTCTTCAGGTGAATAGGACAGAAAGGAAACAAGTAGTGACCAGGGGGTTGTTGTTTTTTTTCCTCGATATCTGATGGCCTTAGACCTGTCTTTAAAAAAAAAAAAAAAAAAGAAAAAAAAAATGTTGGGTTTTACTGTTGCAGAAAAAGAACATTGTTACCTGGAGAATGAGTCCCGAGGAAG